GACCTTCACTTCAGTTTTCAATGTCCCCGTCTCATTCACTGACGGGTATGCTCCGAGCCATCCTATTGGCTGGCATGTTTGCTCGTTTCTTCCCGGCCACAGCGACACTGCTAGCGCGGGCCACGGATGTATCTTTTTCGTTTCTTCATCGCGTCATTTGATCGCTAACTTAGAGCGGTCGGTTGATAATTGTTTTGGATCATGAGTTTCTAACAAAACATATATGTAATTATTTTCAAGTTTGCCAACACTTTAAAAGTCAATAAATGTATGAAAATGATGAATCATCGAACTTGTATGACTTTGTTCTGAGTGGTCCTACAACTTTTGTGCCATATTAACTATTGCTCCAAATAGCTAGTTCTAACAATACGTACCATAATTTTTTGTTGGCCGGCACTTTTAGAAAAGGCCCAAAAAGAATGATGTCCTTTATCAAATAACCAAAAAAATACGAATTTTTAAGCAGATTTTTGTCAAAAAGTCTCATTTTTTATTATTTGTTGGCATTTTCTGGGTATTTTATGTATTTTTTCAATATTGCCTGTTATTTAGCATTATTACTGTTTTTATTTTATCAGGATATACCACTTAGTTTAAAAGTTATTACGTTTTCTTTACAATAAGTAATTGGAAGAAAAAAAAAACTATAAAAAATTTAAAAAAAATCTCAAAAAAAATTTGACCTCTTTTTTGTCGATAAAAATAGGTCTAGTTATATCTGTTTTCATATGTACACTTTAACGTGACTCACACTGTATACATATTTCACGTACAGAATTGACCTCTCTACAGATTTATTATAAGTATAGAATAGATAACTAGGGGTCCCGTACGTAGTGGCGAAGGTCGATATATCGAAGTACGTTTTAGCGAAACACATTCATGGTGGTACGCTGGAGCGAAAGGCTATACTGGAGCGAAACACTCGCGGCCGAAAAAGTAGGGGAGAGTTCGGTATATTGTACCGCCGGGTAAATTGTACCACCCTCATATTTCGTAAAGTATTTATTGAATGTCTGTAATTGCAACACTCAGTGATACACTACTAAATTCAATTAATATCGGCCATGTAGTTTTTGCCGTGACAACGAACACGTGTGTTTTATTTTGAAAAGTATTTTTTCATTGTTTTCAAGTAACTTTTGACAATGCATGTTTAGTTAGTAATTTTGTTAAATTTAATCACAGGGTGTTTCTAATATATTATTTAGAAGCGTAAATTAGTGTGGATTACAATTATTTGAAACATTTTTCGGTATTTATAAGCTATATTTTTTACCGATTTTTTAAAAGCACTATCACCTAGTCGGCTAAATTGTACCACATCAAGTTGTATGGAACTTTACCAAAGGATTTTGATTTTTTTTTTAGTAAATCATATTTTGAAGTTATAATAGCGTAGTTATGTTTGACTAACAATAAATGAAAGCAAAAGACTGGCAAGGTAGATTACGTACAAGTGTGCGTTACAATAACTGGAATTACAAAACTTTTATTCAAAATCGTGATAACGTGTAAAACAATATCGATTGTCTGTGTTATTAACTACTGTTCCTCTTCGTTTCCTAATTTGTTAAGAATGTATCGTATAATATTTTGCCATAGTTTTTTTGTAGGCTTGAAATTTATAGAAATCCAATTTAGTAACCCTGTGGTACAAATTATCGAACCGGTTGGCTAAATTGGACCGAAGCTCTGAACTCGTATTTTGTTGAATTGTGCTAAATATACAACATTACCGGACTCTCCCTTAATTTTGATGACCTAGAAGAGCTTCATTTTGATTTATATGAAACTAGCTGACCCGGCGAACTTTGTTCCGCCTTAATGGCAATAAATAAGCAGACTTTTTTTTTAATTTCGAACGGGATAAAAAGTATCCTATGTCCTTCTCCTGGCTCTAAACTACCTCCCTGACAATTTTCAGCTAAATCGGTTCAGCCGTTCTTGAGTTATAAGCGAAGTAACTAACACGACTTTCTTTTATATATATAGATGTTTTAAATTATTTATTTATTTATTTATTTATTTATTTATTTATTTATTTATATGGCATACCAACATTTTTAATGATAAAAAAATAAAAACATATTTTGACTCGGTTACTACGTACGAAATAACATGTATTTTCTCAATAAATACTGTGGCATAATAAGGCGTTTGTTAAAGGTACTATTTTGCCACAGAAATCGTATTTGCTGTTGACTGTATATAAATATTTGATTACGTATACAGGGTCTCATTAACATTCGCGAGAGGTTCATTTTATAGAGAGGTTCAGTTAAAAGTAACTTATATTTACCTATCGAAATTATGTTTTTGTATGATTAATTATGCCTTGCAGGTTTTGGCCATACATAAATGATTGCGTCGCGTACCGGACCACCACGCCAAAAGTCGCGGACTCGATACCCGAAAATACAGGTGCTTTTGAAGATTTAAATAATTATGATTTTCTAAGCAACCCGTTTTCTTTATTAACGATAACGATTGAGCAAATCGATTTTAAAATAACAACGTCTACATCACTCGACCATGTATGTAAATTTGGACATATTATTATCGGAATCGCACGTTTTGACGAGCTACTTGCTGTGTCTATTCTATCCATATCTGTGATTTCCACAATAATGGCCGGTTGGTGGCGGCCTCAGATCATGATCTGAGGTGGAATTGTGTAAAGCAATCGTAATCATTTGACAGTTCATAACGTACGATTATTCTGTCAAACGCTTTGTTTTACTGACTTTATTGTACGTTATGATCTGTCAAATTATTACGATTGCTTTACACAATTCCACCTCTGATTGTTTTTGATTGAATGTTCTAATTTTAAGTACATAATGGATGCAATAAAATATTGAGTATTGAGTATTGTTTGATTTATTTCTAATTATTTCTACTTAATACATCTTGAATATTTCACCAGATTTAAATTTAAATTAACAGAAAAAGTTTTGCCGCGTTTCCCGCCAAAAAGACAATTGACATTTTGTTTTGTTTTGATGACTTCGTGCGGTTTGCGCATTTATCCAACGTCAAGTAATATAAGTGCTACTTCAAGTAGGTTGTTTGTAATACTTAAGTACACTCGTATTCACAAACGATGCTTGCATATTATGTGAATCAGCAAATCGAACGCACAGCGTTGAATTAAATAGAGCTCTGTGATTGGTCCGTGTGTGACCCTGTGCGTCTACGCGCACTGTGAGACCTCATAGTAATGTTTGTGAATACGGGCGTAAAAATTATACTTAGTGTTATTAACTTAAGTATATGTATACTTTTTTATCAAAAATAATGTTCTCAATTGATAACAAGGATCAAATTGAACAGTCCTTTGATCCACTTTTACTCAAAGGTCATAAGTGCATCATTCGTATTGTTAGGGGGCGTCCATAAATTACGTGAGACTTTTAGGGGGGGGGAGGGGGTCAACGAAAACCTCACTAAATCTCACGTGGGGGAGAGGGGGGGTCTCGGAAAATATCACGTAATTTTTCCCGCAAGAAATAGAGTAAAATTGCCAGAAAACTGGGTTATTGAAGTAAAAAAAAATGATTTTTTTATGATGATAATGACAATTTATTCTAAACCGTCTAATCAAATTAAACTAAAAATGCCTCCATCTGCATTTGTGAACACTAAAGATGCAGAATAAATGTCGAAATTAAGATAATTCGATATTAAAAAAAAACGTCATCGGCATCGCTATTGCGTAAAAAATTTACCAAGTGCGTGTCGTGCCACGCGCAGTGTAGGGTTCCGTAGTTGTCTGTCGTTACCACAATATATTTCAGAAGCAAGCAATTACTTCATCTAAAGTCACTTTTCATATTTTCTTCTAACGAATTTTTACTGGTTAAGAAATTGTATAATACATGTTCAAATGACTATTACTCTTAAACTAAGTAATGTATCTTAACTGTTATAGTTTTCCTTGAAAAAATTCATCCCCACTTTACATGCAGGGGAGCTATCCTAGAATTTTTTTTTTTTCAAAATTTTATTTTACCGTTTTGTCGGCGTGATTAATATACATACCTTCACAAAATTACAGCTCCCCAGTGCCAATAGTTTCCAAGCGAAACCTCGGACAGACAGACATAATATGTCTGTCTGTCCGAGGTTTCGCTTGAAACAGCACTAATGACAACTTCCAGGCACCTAACGCCCGTAGGTATTCACAAAAATATTACTATGAGGTCTCACAGTGCGCGTGGACGCACAGGGTGACACATGAACCAATCACAGAGCTCTATTCAACGCTGTGCGTTCAATTTGCTGCTTCACATAAGCAAGCATCGTTTGTGAATACGGGCGTAAGTGACGGCAGCTTTTTCAAACAAAAATGTACTGTAGGATTTAACCCCCGCCCTCCTGACGCAAAAAGAGGGGAGTGTTTTAAGTTTAAAGTGTCTTTCTGTGATATCGTAGCTAATAAACGAATGAACCGATCTACATTTAGTTTTGTAGTTACCTACTTACTATATAGATTTCCATAAACTACTTATTTATGTCTGGTGAGGGTCGCGGGAGGTGCCTGGATGCGAGCGGCGCCGCAGGACCGGTCTTTGTGGAAATCCTTGGGGGAGGCCTTTGTCCAGCAGTGGACGTGTTTCGGCTGAAACGAACGAACTTATTTTTATTAAAAAATAATGAATTCACCGGTTTTTTGCACATTAAACCGGCACATGGAACTTGGTAGACGTGATTTGAATGACAGCTGTCACATGCACCATACTACAGCACAGCGTAAGATAATGTAAATTTATTTTAACTTTTTTTAAATTTAGGTACATTTTACTCTGTGTAACGCGAAATGCCGGAACTAAACGAGCCACTCTTAGTTTTACTCTGCGTTTATTTTTAGAATATACATACAATACATACCTACCTAAACTATAGTTAAATCTTTAGACGTTGTTTAATTTAATAACATAGCTGCCAAAGCTGCCAACCCTAGCTAGCAGACGCCTCCTATAAAAGACAAATGCATTTATCTTAAACGAGTAGTTAAGTAGTCGGTAAACAGTCGAACAGTGATTTAACGCAATGATTTTTTTAATCTTATTATTCGTTTTATGTGTATGCCTAACATTCTTATACTCGTCTCTAAAAAGTAAACAAGATTACTGGAAGAAGAAGAAAGTGCCTTCATGTCCCAACCCTAAGCCGATCTTCGGGAATTATTCAGACTACATTCTATTGAAGAAATTTGTAGGAGAAGCCTCACAGGAAATATGTCGGGCTTTCCCCAACGAGCCTTACATCGGAACGTTCTACGGCTCGGACCCAGCTCTCCTGGTGCAAGACCCTGACATCTTGAAGATGGTTATGACCAAGGACTTCTATTACTTCAACAGCCGGGAGGTGTCCAAGTACACGCACAATGAAGTCTCCACGCAGAACCTATTCTTCACTTACGGGGACAGGTGGAAAGTGATGCGCCAGAACATGACGCCTATCTTTACGACTGCAAAGATGAAGAACATGTTTTATTTAGTGGAAAATTGTTGTTACACACTAGAGAATTTACTGGATTATGAGAATAGCGTTTCCGATGTCATAGAAGTGAGGACTCTAACTGCTAGATACACCATGGAGTCTATAGGCTCCTGTGCTTTTGGAATCGACATGAATTCGATGGAGAAGGGCTTTGATCGTAATCCCTTCATCCTTATGGGCAGCAAAATCATGGATTCCTCCACTTATAGAGGCTTGAAATGGATAGCCCGAGCCATGTGGCCATCAGTGTTCTACGGATTAGGATTCAAAACTTTCTCCACAGATATCGACAAGTTTTTTGAATCCATACTGATAAACATCTTCAAAGGCAGAGGCTACAAGCCGACTACCCGAAACGATTTTATTGACTGCGTTTTGAATTTGAAAAATAACAACTACATCACTGGAGACAGCATGCGTAATGCGAAAACTGGTGGGAATGAGAAGGTGGTTTTGGAGGTAGACAACGATTTAATGGTGGGTTTGTGCGTGGTGATCTTCGCTGCTGGCTTCGAGACCTCGTCCACGACGATGGCATTCACATTGTTCGAGCTGGCAAAGCACAAGGAGGCTCAGAGACGCGTTCAGGAGGAAATAGACGAGTATTTGAGGGTGCATGAGAATAAGTTGAGCTACGATTGCGTGTCTACACTGACGTATACAGAAGCTTGTGTTGATGAGGCGCTTCGTTTGTATCCTGTGTTGGCACTCCTGACTAGAGAAGTGGTGGAGGATTACACGCTACCGTCAGGTCTGACCCTGGAGAAGGACAGTCGCGTGCACATACCGGTGTACCACCTTCAACGCGACCCTGCTAATTTCCCAGACCCCGAAGAATACAGGCCAGAGAGGTTCCTGCCCGAGAACAAGCAGAACATCAAGCCGTACACCTACATGCCTTTTGGAGAAGGGCCTAGAATTTGTATAGGTATGTTTTAGTCTTACTATTTTCGCATTTTGCCGTTTAAATCTACAGCCGTCCACTTCTGAACAGCCTCTTCCCCAAGGATTTCCACAACCACCGATCCTGCGCTGCCCGCATCCAGGTGCTTCTCGCGACCTTCAACCAGATCGTCGGTCCACCGAATAGGAGGACTGCCTACATTACATACTATAACTTCCGTGTACAAACCTCCAGGGACACTCCCCAGTCGATGAGGCACCTGATGTCGTGCCCTGAGTGCCCGAGCAACTGCACTCAGGAGGATTTGATGAGTGCTACTGACAACGCCACTCTTGTGGCGGAGTTTTGGGCTGACACTGTGTAGGTTTGTTGTCGACACGAAAAGAAGAAGATTACATTTTACGTTTACTTCAATGTTTACAATGTGTAAATTAACACAGTCTACAGACCTCTGCCGTCTGCTCTCAAATATTTTTTTAACGGTAACCAGTGTTTTGTTACGTAATTATGTGAATGCCAATTTCACACTATCAATGTTAATTTCAAACTATTGTTAAGTTTTTTAAAGTATCTTTGATCCATAAATTGTTAATGAAATAAATAAATGTCCTGAGCCCCCAGTACAGCAGTAGAGACAGCCCTGTGTCTGAAATCAGTTTGTTTAAAATCGAGAACACACTTGTTTACACAATTTTTTAATGTATTTTTACCGATAATAATGGTTATATCGCGCATTAAGGTCACAAGTTAAGCCAGGAATGAAAATAAAAATAACTTACCTAAGATAATGCAAAACTACGAATCATATAAAATAATGAATTATACAGGTTGTCCCTTCTGGCTGGCTGGCTTGGCTTCGGCTTGACACTACTTTTTGGGACACCCTGTATAAGAAAGAAACAAACAATCAAAAGCCATTGCTAGAATTTTGACACGTCTGCAATTTTGCATCATTTTTATTACTCGTTACTGAAAAGTTATGATATCATATCTTGTAAATCTTAAGTTGAAGGCTCGTAGTGGCTGTAAGAAAAAGCTCGTGCTCCTTGGGGGGCACTCATTGCCCAACCCACCTTCGTCTGCCATTTTGATTAAAATTTTTTAATGCTTAACAAGTGAGATGCAGTCTAGGATGGTACATATCTGCCCTGTCAGTGCCTATTCACTCTCGCCTTGAAAAGGCCCGGGTTATAATTTTTAATTCGGTAATAAATTAATTAAAAATTAGTATTCGGGAAAGACAAATTATAAAACAAAGTCTGATCCCAGCGGAAGCTGAGTTGCATCACCTTATTTTATCCGTGACTTTTGACGTTTGTTAAGTTAATGTAAGATAGTGCAACCTATCATTAATGTTTCTTAAGCCTGCTGAACACTGAGATATTATTTATGTTTTTTAATGGCAACAATAATTTTATAAGTTCAGCACATCATTGTGACATCAGTCTGTTCTTGCAAGGCGAGAGTGAATAGGCACATAAAAGGCAGATTTATGTACCATACTAGACTGCAGTGCCGTTGCGGTCAAATATATTACCTGCCTTCAACCTGCCTTTTTCTGCATGAAAAAAGACCCCAGTGTTTATTTTATTTTGAGCTTGACATCGTATAGTAATGGCTTCCGAATTTGTTCCAGGAATGAGGTTCGCAAAGATGCAGATGCTGGCTGGTCTGGTGACGATCCTGAAGAAGTACTCCGTGGAATTAGCTGATGACATGCCGGAGCAGGTAACGTACGAGCCTCGGTCCATCGTGACGTCACCCATCGGAGGGATCAAACTCAAGTTCACGGAAAGGGACGGATGGGAGCAAAGGGTTTTGCAAAAATGAACGACGTCGCTATTGTATTAAGGCCCGATTCGACCAAACTTTTATCCGAGAATAACTCCTGGTATAGCACATTGACAGTTTTAGTATGGGAAATCTGTCAAAATGTCGAATAACTGACTATTTATTCTGAGATTCGAATCCGCCTTAAGTGAACTAACTTGACTTTTTTAACTTTTTTGATTCTATCAAGTAAATGTTTTTGGTTTTCTATCTTTGTTTTTATTAGTTTAGCATTATGGTGTTTGATGCAGTCAAGTATCCTTTTTGGGGGCGACATTTCGCCATCCAGGTTTAGGGTAATAAGTCAGACTTTATCCCCCTTATTAATAGAAGTTACACCCTAGTTGAACTCTGGCTTGTATTGTCATTTACTAGTATGGAAATGTCATTTTAATTCAAGGTTCATCCTAGCTGTAACTTTTTATTAAAAAGGAGGTATATTTTTTATTATAGGTAACTAGGTACTAAATGAGGAGCTGATCGTAGATATCATTTATCGCAGTCAGCGAGGAATGAGAATAATGTAGTGTTTTTTATAAATAGGAAAACTAAACCATTTTTCATAAAGACACAGACATCTGGTCAGGTGGATTGGATGGCTTAAACATGGAGTGCAGGTGCGGTTTTGTTCCCCAGTCGATGAAGCACCTGATGTCGTGCCCTGAACAGGCCCCTCTTTCCCACTGGGCACTTTGGGGACGTGCCCAGGGCCCCGCGACCGAGGGGGCCCCCGTCTGCTCGAAAGACCTTTCTCCAAATGATAAGGGGCCACCCTTGATCCTTAAGTGCCCAGGGCCCCTAGTAGGTTAAAGACGGCCCTGGCCCTGAGTGCCCAAGCAACTGCCCTCAGGAGGATTTGATGAGTGCTGCTGACAACGCCACTCTTGTGGCGGAGTTTTGGACTGACACTTGTGGTGTAGGTTTGTTGTCGACACGAAAAGAATATAAAGACACAAATATATCCAATCAGCAGGATCCAGTGTTCACGCATTGTTTTATTTTTATGTGACAGGAGGCACATGTTTTTGTGCCTAATAAGGTACAAAGGTACAACTTGATTATCTTTTAATCATAATATATTCGGGGAATTAATAAATCATGATGATAATATGCGTTAGAGATCGTACCTAATCGAAAATAGATTTTCCGATAGTCAGTCACGATGATGTTTTTTGCAAACCTGCATGATGTTTCGAAGTTGTAGATAGGCGGGTTTGACCGAAGTATTGACTTCATCATCATGATGCTATACTTAAGTAAGTGTAGTTTAGATGGATAGGTACTTGGAACAAACATGCGTGATAAGTGCTTATTTGCTCGTGCCTGGAGATTTTTTGCCAAGTCACACCAAGTTTGGTGAAGGTCTGGTGTGGTGAAGGTCGCGGGAAGCACTTGGACAGGGCAAGGCAGGACGGATCAGTGCGGTGATCTCTGGAAGACCTTAGTCAAGCAGAAGACGTCCTTTGGCTGAAATAATTACCTAACCTAGGTATATTTTGAAATTAAACTATAATTATCATCATTATTTCAGCTACAAGGACGTTCACTGCTGAACATAGACCTCCCCAATGATTTCCACATCGCCCGGTTGGTAGCAGCCTTAATCCAGTGCCTTCCTACTACCTCCTTTAATTTTTTTAAATATTATTAAGCCATAGTGGACTATGGGACTATTCCCACCTCTCGTCCCCACCGCTGCAACGCCTGTGTAGCCGAGATCTACAGCTGGACCGTCAATAAAAACTTTGCCAAGATGGCCGTTGTCCCGGGGAAAAGGTAAACTGTCATTAGACCCGCATTTAAATTAATCAGAAGAACATAGGAGTTTGAAAATAAGGATCGACTTGATTCCAGTGCAAAGAGAATGACAGCTCGAACAAAGGTTAAATATTTAAGAAAAGATAATTATACAAAATGGACAGTAAGCATTATTATGCATGTCTACTTATTATCTTATCTTAAAAGATTAGCGTCGGGGTCAAAGTTTCAAAAACATTTTCGTTATCTTCAGCTTAGGCCCGCAACCTACTAATAAATAAAAAACAAATAAATATCCTTGGACATTTTACACTGCGCCTTCTAGTCCCAAACTAAGCAAGGCTTGTACTATGGGTACCGGACAGCAAAAATTACCTCGAAGTGACATGGTAAGTAATTATGTAAATGTACAGTTATTATTTTAACTACTCAGTAGTTCCTGTCTTATTGAATATACAGTTGAATGACACGTGATAAATCTGTTCATTTTAGTAAACAACTCTAACTTCGTGCCAGCTTGTTTATTGAGAACACAATATCTGTTAGTGATTATAGCACATCTGTAAATTGTAGTTGTTGCGCTAATAATACTTGGTAAACAATTCAATAAAATTATAATAGTCGGTATAGTTCTTGCAACTCACGAAGACGAGTGAGCTTTCCTTGTTGTTGTGTACGTGTACATGCACGTAACTATACAGTGTGAGTCACGTTAAAGTGTACACATGAAAATAGATGAAACTAGACGTATTTTTATCGACAAAAAAGAGGTAAACAAAATTTTGAGATGTTTTTTAAATTTTTTATAGAATTTTTTTCTTCCAATTACTTATTGTAAAGAAAAAGTAATAACTTTTAAACTAAGCGGTATATCCTGATAAAATCAAATCAGTAATAATGCTAAATAACAGGCAATACTAAAAAATACATAAAATACACAAAAAATGCCAACAAATAATAAAAAATGATACTTTTTGAAAAAAAGTCTGTAAACCGAAGTAAAATAAGCATAATTTTCTCTACCTGTAGCGGAGAATAATGTTGTGGCAGGCCTTTGTTCAAACGATCATAGCAAATGTTGTGATAGGGATATCTAGAGACATGCGATTTTTGGTTTTACAAAGATAATACGATAGAAAATAATACTAAGTATTAATAAAAACCACCTGTTATAGGGGCATTTTTCGGAGAAATTTATGCTGTGCAGTAGCGCTAAAACTCACTTGCCTTTGTAAATTAGAACAACTATAATTCGGTATGGACCGATGAGATGGTCAGAAACGGTGAGGAAGCCGGTGGGCGGACGCATCGTGCGGTCCACGCAGCTTATGACCGCAGTCTGTGGACGAACACTATTTTGTGGTCGCGATTCTCATCAGTGAGGGACTGAGGAAGAAGAATAGTAAGTACCTATAATAGAGGCCACGTATCAGCAAGAACAGGGTAGGACGTCCAGGTACAAGGTGGACAGATGACCTTATAAAAGCAAGAAAGCGGCATAAGCCTACGTCCTGTCATCCTGAAGCTGAAGTTATTTACATTTTTTATTCAAAAAAAGTACAAAATATGTAATAATACTATTAGAGTAGGCGCACACCGTTGATTTTTCGTCGGCCGATAGTTTAGTCGGGCAGTTGATCAGTATGGGCATATCCCATACGGGAGTGCGCACACTACCCCGATTTGATTTGGCCGATTCTTCATACAATTTAAAATCGGGCACAACTATCGGCCAACTAAAAATCAACGGTGTGCACCTACTCTTAGTGCTTTTATAAAGTAAGGTAAATAATACAGTAGTGGTAAGTAAGGTAAATGATACAGTTGACAGCACATCAGACTTTACATTTTTATTGTGACATCGCCTCTTTTATTAAGGACATAAGGCCACCATGTTACAGCTTGACGTGCCGTCGTCTGATCTTAAGAAAAAAAAAATTAAAAATCCTGACATATTTCCATGGATGGCCTAATATTATGCGGAGGAATACTCCTGACGTCTGGTAGCCCTATCTTGTCTAGACAAGTCGTTATCAATTCGATTTGGTGGTAGCCTCGCTACTTAATTTAGGTTATTACGAAACAGTTTATCAAGTATCGTCGCAATTTGATTAACCCAATGGCCACAAGTGGGGGATGTGGGCGATTTTTCTTTTTATTGGGGCGGCGCTGATGGAAGCAACTGGAAGTTAATGCTGATAATAAAAAATATAAAACAAAACTTCATTAATTTCTTCACAAGTTTTCAAGGACAAGTAGGTACATAACAAAAACCGGCCAAGTGCGTGTCGGACTCACGCACAAAGGATTCCGTACCATTGATTACTGTTTTTTTTTTTTTTATGTTATTTGTATTTAAGATTACGCGGTTAAGCAGTTTACGATTTACGAGGTATTAAAAAAACTACTTACTAGATCTCGTTCAAAACAATTTTCGATGGTAGTTTTTATGGTAGGTGATGTACATAACAATATGTTTTTTTTTTTTTAGATTTTTCATTTTCTTATTTTAGAAGTTAGAGGGGGCAGGACCAACTTTTTTCCACTTTGGAAGCGTCTGTCACGCAAACTATTCGGTTTAGAAAAAAAATATTTTAGAAACCTCGATATTATTTTTGAGTTTCAGTTCTAAGTATGGGGAGCCCCCAATATTTATTATTATTTATTTATTTTTGCATCAAAATCTTAATGCGGTTCACAGAATTCTACCTACCAAGTTTCAACTAGAGATTGCAATCCGGATTATTCGAAATTCGAAAATATCTGAAAAATCCGGATTTTGAGGCTATAAAAAAATCCGGATTTTGACATTGAAATCCGGTTTTTTCGAATATTTTACCCCAAAAATTTTATCATAAAATCATAAACCAAAATAACTATCTATTGAATGCAACATGGATGCAAAACAAGCGAAGTTTTGATTGAACTTCGTCGCACAATAACGCGATATGCCGCATGCGTAAGTGAATTCGCTAGTCGGCCAGTGAGTTTTATACGAGATGCTGATTCTGAAACACCATATCGCTGAGTTTTAAAGAGCAGCTAAATCGGCAAATATCCCTTGCAAGTGTAAGTCATCATCATCATCATCATCTCAGCCATAGGACGTCCACTGCTGAACATAGGTCCCCCCAATGCTTTTCATGTTGCCTGGTTGGTAGCGACCTGCGTCCAGCGCCTTCCTGCTACCTTTATGATGTTATCGGTCCACCTTGTGGGTGGACGTCCCACGCTGCGTTTTCCGGTACGCGGCCTCCACTCCAAATTCAAATTATTTATTGCATGTCACTCCAGAACCTTGCTGCCCCATCGGCCGTCAGTTCTGCGTACTATGTGCCCTGCCCATTGCCACTTCAGCTTGTATCCGTCGGGCTAGTATGTCAGCGACTTTAGTTCGTTTACGGATCTCCTCATTTCTGATTCGATCTCGTAAAGAAACACCGAGCATAGCCCTCTCCATAGCACGCTGTGCAATTTGAGCTTCTGTATAAGGCCTATAGTGAGAGGCCACGTTTCCGAACCATAAGTCATCACTGGTAACACACATTGGTTGTAGACCTTAGTCTTCAGGCACTGAGGTATTTTGGACTAAAAGATGTTGCGTCGTTTCCCAAACGCTGCCCAGCCGAGTTGGATTCGACGATTGACCTCTTTCTCGAAATTGGACCTACCCAGCTGAATCGTTTGTCCGAGGTAGACATACTTGTCAACAATCTCGAGAATTGAGCTCCCAACCGAAACTGGGTAGGGCGCAACATGGACATTGGACATAAGCTTTGTTTTCTCCATATTCATCCGCAGGCCAAGTGTAAGTAGATATCTTCAACCTCGCCCATCAAGTTCACCCAGCGGATCCAATTTGCTTACATTAATTCATCTCGAAATGTCATTGTATGAGAATGGGGGTAATTGTGGAGAAATCCTTAAGAGTTCTAAACAGGTTAATGGCTATACCGCCGACCATTTAGCTGGGTTGATGATGAAGTCAAGAGGTGACCATAGGAACTCTTAAACGAAACGGCTGAATCGCATCGAACTTGGGTTCGTTGGATGTCTTTTCGAGCACTTTAGTGCTAGATGATGCCCAGGGTCCTGATGATGGATTCGGGAGGTGGCCATAGGAACTCCTAAACGAAACGGTGGAAACTCATCGAATTTGGGTTTGTTGGATTTGTCTTTTCAAGCACTTAAGTGCTAGATGATGTTCAGGGTCCTGATGATGAAGTCAGGAGGTGGCCATAGGAACTCTTAACCGAAACGGCAGAAACTTATAGAGTTTGAGTTCGTTGGATTCGTCTTCCCGAGCACTTTGGTCGTAAATAATGACCAGGGCCCTGAGATTGAAATACAACTTTAAAGTGTAAAATAAAATTATAATAAAAAAATTAGCTCCCCTGGCCTACCTGGAAATCTTTATAGACTTCGGACAGGTCTGCCGTAGTAAGGACAATCTGTTCAGGTGTCAGGTGGGGATTCTTGGATGGATCAAACTTGGAGTGCAAGTGTGGTTTTGTTCCCCAGTCGACGAAGCACATGATGTCGTGCCCTGCGTGCCCAAACAACTGCAAGCAGGAAGATTTAATGAAGGCTACTGACAACGCCACTCTTGTGGCGGAGTTTTGGGCTGACGCTGTGTAGGTTTGTTGTCGACACGACAAGAAGAAGAATAAAAAAAATATTTTATAGGTACAAGCAAGTTTTTATTCTGAAATGCAGTTGTACTAAAACGAAAAAAATAATGCAAAGTTCAAATAATTTCGAAAGCTTGTAGCGCAAACCGAAAAAAAAGAGGAATAAATTCCATGCGCGATAATAAAATAAAACGCTTTTTTTCAAATACTTACAATCTTTTTGAAAAAAACTACGTTTTATTTAAATTAAATTGATGGTTTAAAAAAATTACCCAATATTCGAAAAATCCGGATAATCCGGATTTGTACGTAACACAAATCCGGAAAACCGGATTTAAGAAAAATCCGGATTTTGCAATCTCTAGTTTCAACAGTATAGCTCTTATAGTTTCGGAAAAAAATGGCTGTGACATACGGACGGACAGACAGACATGACGAATCTATAAGGGTTCCGTTTTTTGCCATTTGGCTAAGAGACCCTAAAAACGCATGTTTTAACAATATTCCCTATTGTGAAGACTGGTGCTTGATAATCAAAATCCTACGTAGGTATTCTAAACAAGTTGGTCGAAAAAATAGAATAAATTAAGAATATTTATTATTTATTTAAATACTGTATTGGTTATCTCTATTGTAACAAACATTTGCGAATATGTTCGATGCATCTGTATTATTGTATACTGTAGCAATATAAAATTGCACTGTAGTGTAGGTAGCATTTGCATTTTTTATTTTTTGCGTAGTTACACATTATTTAGCAGATGCAGTGCTTTTCTTTAAGTGATGGGGCACTTATACATGTAATTTTGGTTATGTATTTTAAATTTTAATAGTGTACTTATTGTTGAAAAGCCAAAATAAATAAATAAATAAATAAATAAATACTAGCTTTCCGCCCGCGGCTTCGCCCGCGTGGAATTTTGTCTGTCACAGAAAAACTTTATCGCGCGCGTCATCAAAGTGCAGTTCCAGGCAATATCACTTACATTATCTTAAGTGCATGTAGAATAATATGAGGCTCTTAATGACACTAATCTAAGAATTTGACTAAACAGAATAATAATAGAAAAAAATATAAAGGAATAAAGGAAAATTAATAAATACGAGAGGATAAGAATTAAAATAATAATTTTATTTACAATATTTACATGACAACATTGTTGTTCAATAATATTTGATACTTAAATAATAAAAGGCCTTGTCTTTCTTGCCAGAGGTGTAAAAAATGCCCTCATTAATGTTTTTGATAACAAAACTTTCTAATTTCTATAACATTAATCATGGAAATTCATGGATAAATTATTTCCTTCAACTATAAACAACATTTTTTAAAATTAAAAATGACTACATAAACAAATAGCTTATTAGGTAGTTAGAGAAATAAAATATTTGCCAAATAATAATTGTTCAGCCTTAAGTTTTTACTGTTTGTACCCACACCACAATATTTACAGTATCTTATACTAAGGAATATGGGCGGACAAACAAACTAGGCGGTGCACTGTAGCAGACGAAGGGAAGAAAATCGGCAAGACTTGGAGCGAGACCAAACTCGAAGCTCAAGACCGAATGCGATGGAGGACTGTAGGACGCCCTCTGTCCCATCTAGGGGACATAGGTCTATGAGGTCTCACAGTGCACGTGAACGCACATGGTGACACACGAACCAATCACAGAGCTCTATTCAACGCTGTGCCTTCGATTTGCTGCTTCACTTAAGCGTAAGTCACGGAACATAATTATTGCGTTTTGACAAACGTGCGGTTCTCCCATCCCTCTCTAACGGTAAATTTGATCCTCAAAGGCTCGGTGGGCTGGGTGATGAGGGAGGTCGCCAGGAACTCCAGCTTCCTTGGAGTTTCTGGAGTCAGTTCTAAGTTGTACTTCTTCAGAACAGTCACCAGGCCAGCGAATACTTGCATTTTTGCGAACCTCATTCCTGAAAAATACGAATTTTTATTAGCTTTAGACTAGATTATGGCTAGCAAACGTTGTTTTGCACTTAGGGGCATGCAAAATAAACGTTTTATTCTCAAACCTATTAAATAACCACACAACATTTCATAAAAATACGCTAAGCCGTTTTGGAGGACTTGTGAAAAACACTGACACGGTTAGATGAGCAACACAATATTTTCTTTTTTCAAATTATTTAAGAAGTTTCCTTTGATGTGGTTGGTTTAACTTATGATAAATAAAAATAGTTACATAATAATTTAAACTTACCTATACAAATACGCGGTCCGTCACCGAAGGGCATGTAAGTGTTAGATTCTATTTTTCGTTTCTCTTCTCCCAAAAACCTTTGAGGACGATAAACTTCTGGCTCTGGGAAATACTCGGGGTTGTGATGCAGGTGGTAGACCGGCAGGTGGATGCGGACTCCTTTGTCGAGGTGAACACCAGTCGGCAGAGTGTAGTCCTCGACCACCTCCCTCGTTATTATCCCAAGCACTGGATATAAACGCATGGCTTCACTAACACACGCCTCTGTGAAGGGCAGTTCGGTCAAGCAGTCGTACTCCAATTTGTTCCCGGTTTTCACTAAATACTCATCTATTTCCTTCTGCACTCGCTTCAGATTCTCTGGACTCTTCGCAAGTTCATACATGGTGTAGCTCATTGTGGTAGCTGACGTCTCATATCCAGCTATGAAGAATGCCACACAGTTTGCCACCAAAAAGTCTTCTGTGACTGGCATTGACACCTTCTTGTCTGCGCCGGTTTTCATATTAGTAATGCTGTCGCCCTCAATATAGTTCTTCTGCTTAAAATTCAATATGAAGTCGACAAAGTCATTTCTGTTGGTCGGCTTGTAGTTGCGTGCTTCGAAGACTGACACCATAAATTGACGGAAAAATACTTCCATATCAGGTGGCATGAACGTCCGTCTAGACCCGTAGAATATCGTTGGCCAAATGGATCTTACAAGATTCCTGTAAAAAACTCTTTTGGATGTAAGGTCTAATATTTTGTTCCCTGCCTGTGTGAAAGGGTTAGTTTTATAGTCGCCTTTCATGGTTTGAGAGTCGACACCAAACGCGCAGGAGTTGATGCAGGCCATGGTGAACCTGGCCATGAGCGTTCTTATTTCGATGACGTCAGACATGCTTGTCTCTTCGTCGAGCAGCTTTTCAAAAGCGTGGGAACATGTTTGGATAAGCGGGAACATCATCTTCATTTTTGCTGATGAGAACACTGGAGTGAGATTTTGACGCACTACTTTCCAGTCGTCTCCGTAGGTGTTGAAAATATTTTGGGTAAAGGCTTCCTTATGAACAAAATCTGATACTTCTCTACCGTTGAAATAGTAGAAGTCTTTTGTTGTGATGAGTTTGATGAACTCGGGGTCTTGGACGATGAGCGCGGGTTCCGTGCCATAGAACACCCCAATGTAAGGTTCCTTCGGGAATTGTTTGCAGATGTCTTGACCTACTTTGCTCAAACTTTTTCTGAGCAGAAAATGGTCGCCATAGTTGCCGAGTATTAGTTTAGGCTTGAGATAAGGTACGTTTCTCTTCTTCCAGTAATTGAATTTTCTCGTTGAGATATAGAATAACGCCACAAGCACCGCTAGGATGACGAATACGATGTTTACAATCATGTTTTACGGCTATCGTATCGTTATTCGTACTGTGATTAAAAAATGTGCCTCGCGATATTTATATCAATGTGATATCTCTGCGGTGACCAAACTATGCTTTGAATTTTTGGACACATACAAAAATAAGGAAGTCTTTAAAACACTTCACAAATATATTGAAGTATTATTTGCCACAACCTTATTTTTTTGTACTCGTCACTCGTCACATTACATACGAAAAAAAATTATTATGTTGGTTATAATGCGATTGTTTGTTGATTGATTAACTGACCTTAACTATTGCAGACACACCTCAATGGTGACTCATGGTTTAGCTCGCGCCGGTGTAATAAGATATATTGTTTTTATGCAAAGTACCTACCCAAGTACATTTTTGTAAAATGGTAATAAATAAAGAGTAATTTACTCATATATGGTTTGGACTTCGACTACTTTTTGTTAAAAACTGAAATTTCAACCGGGTAAAATAAAAGATTAAAATTTTTTGGTGATTCGATCATGTTTTCTTCCGACTAAAAATCTGCGCATAGGCTTTGTAGTTTTAATAGTTTTAATTTAATGCATTATTGACATCTTTATCTTTATCTTTGGTTGTTACCCACGCTCCAACTAAGGGAAAGGAGGAGGCAGAAAATCAGCGCGGGGTAGGGTATATGCCTGACCTCACTTAGGCTAAGCCTCATCCTTTTGCCTCTTATGTTTTTTAATATATCTATGTTTGTAAAGTATGTTAAAACGAGGCAACGAAAGTATTATCTTATCTTTATATCTGTGAATTCACACATGTGGATTGATCTTTTATTTTAAACAATATTTTTGTCCTATTTATTTCAGAATCATGGACGCCCTATCCCAAAACTAGTAGTAATGATGATATGCAGATTTCCAAAACTAGTAGTAATGATGACATGCTGAAAACAAACATTTGTTTGTTATTGTGTAAAAAAACTTTTGTATACCTACTATTAAAGATAAATACAACAACTTTTTGTAGATAGTTTATACAATTTGCCGATCAGCTGTTTTCAATTCGATTTAAAAAACAACTTATTTTGAGATTGAGTTAACCATCATCAGAAAACGTTACATTATTCATTTTTGGATCAGACTAAGTTTTTTCCAGGTCTGACTGGTTGAATAAACTTTTGTACAGATTAAGATTTGACAAACCCAAACTTGATGCGATTGTGTCGTTTTATTGCGATGTACCTTTCAGCTCCATCATCAGACCCTGATTACTATACAGGGTGTTAGGTAAATGGGTATATGAGCCGACACTAGCCCATGTTAAAATGGTCATATAAATGGTATGGTGAAGTCAGAAAATTGATATCTTCATTTTAATTATTTTAATTTTCATACAAATCGGATTTTATAATTTTTTTTTTGTTTAAAAATTTAAAAAAATAAAATGATGATATCAAATTTCTGAGCAGTGTGATAACCGCCATCGCGAACGGATACTAATCACATTATTAAATTTCTTTATCACAATCTTTATTGAACTTGCGAGTCATCTGAAGTTGCCATAATAAAGTTGATTACATTATACATAATACTAATAATTATATCACACTAGCTTTCCGCCCGCGGCTTCGCCCGCGTGGAATCTGGGGGCACGGCAGTGCCCCCACCAAGTCGAGCAAAAAAGCGGCACGGCCGTACCATCCTTTTCTCGAAGCAATTCAGGCCATTTTCGACCGCCTGTAACTTCGTTGTGGATAAAACTAGAAGGCTGAATTTTCATTAGCTATGCAGGCATTGTAAAGACACGGTATATTTAAAATTTCATTCAATTTGAACCAGTAGTTTAAGAATTATAACGGGTCAAAGTTACTTAATTTTGTCACTCACTGACTCACTGACTCACCGATCATCAAAACTCTAAGGCACTTCTAGCAGACCTAGAAGCTTCAAATTTGGAATATAAGTAGTGTTTGGTGTATGAATCAAGGAAAAACTAAAATATTTGGGGGCACGGTAGTGCAACCGCCAAGTCGAGTAAAATTTTTCAATTTCGGTCCAGTTTTCTAGATACATAACTGCTGTCTACAAAATACAAAAAGAAATGAGATCCCATCAAAAACAATACTTGTCAAAAAAACCAAGTCTCGCAACTCAGTTGTTCTACGGTAAAAAGTTGTGAGATCCATGTAATACCAAGTCCAGGCCAGGAAATCTTTAACGTTTTACATAAATATATTGACTTGGCCATCGCATGAAAACACGTGTAAATTAAATTATTTAGTGCGATGGCCAAGTCAATAATTTATGTAAAACGTTAAAGATTTCCTGGCCTGGACTTGGTATTACATGGATCTCACAACTTTTTACCGTAGAACAACTGAGTTGCGAGACTTGGTTTTTTTGACAAGTATTGTTTTTGATGGGATTTTGTCTGTCGCAGAAAAACATTATCGCGCGCGTCCCTGTTTTAAAAACTGGGATAAAAACTATCCTATGTCCTTTCCCGGGACTCAAACTATCTCTATGCCAAATTTCATCAAAATCGGTTCAGTGGTTAAGGCGTGAAAGCAAGACAGACAGAGTTACTTTCGCATTTATAATATTAGTATGGATAAAAGTATAGACTAGTAGGTGATTGCTATAGTAATTAGCCTGTACATAGTTATTGGCCACCTTGACTAAAATAAAAATAAACAAGCATATGTACGTTATTAAGAGTGGAAAAGAGACACAAATACTTTCTCTGAGCATTACGCTGTCCAATGTAGTATGTCAGAGTAAGAACAGATGGCACTCTAAACAGCAGAAGCTTTCTTTCCACAACGAGTCGTCCGAGCAGCCGCATGCTTGTCAAAATTTTAAGGTAAATATTTATGAATATTGTTCGTATAGCCTGACCAGGAATATAAAAACCCTGGCATAGAGGCGCGTCAATTGCATTTGATAGTGCAACACTGAGTACAGTCGTACCTGTGTTAAATTAATAGGCTAACTTTATGTATCAGGATTCAGGATTACGGGCTAATTTGATATTTTCATAAATTAACGAAAAAATATTATTATAGGTAACCTGGTTTAAATAAATTAAATGAAACCATCAATCGAGCTAGTAGGATTTATTTTATTATTCATCAATAATCAAATTCAGAACTTGAATATTCAACTGCAATGTCTGCTCATGAACGCTTCAAACTCGGTACTTCTTTCCCAATTCCATAAAATTCAACACTTAGAAAGTGACAAAAAACTTTAAAATAGGTAGTTGAAACAAACCACAGCTAATTTTCATAGTGGACTGTACTATACGATAAACATGTCAGTCAATTTGACAACCTTTGTTGGAAACATTATTCAATGAAAATATTGTCCGAACCCTTGGTATTTCTCTTCGACAAATACTTTAACACATTGTGAACCACTTTTCTTTCACGACTATAAAAATATTTTAGCAATTTCATTCACAAAATCAATTGCGCACATTTAAAATAAAGTTTGTTTACACTTTGACAGCAATAGACTGACATGCAAGGTGACATGCCAATGAAGTTTTCAGTTACTGTTGCCAATAAAAGAAATTAGTACCATTAGTTTTCCGCAACATGGCGAGGGTTTTTATGTTCCTGGTCAGGCTATAATTTAATTGTTTTTCTTGTTATAGTAATTTTTCACTGTTTTTTTGTAAAGAGAGAAATGGTAGCTTATGTAGATAGATAATGTTACTTTGTTTTGGAATAAAATAACTTCAAAATTATACCGGCCAATAACTATACCACGTTTCAGTTATTGGCCATGGGTGGCCAATAATTAAATTTTACTTTTATTGTATTTTTATTCAAGATTAAGTTAATTTAACCCTTAAATATTTACTATTAAAATACTAACGTCCTAACCCATTGGGATCAGTAATTAGCCGGGGGGCCAATTACTGACACTTATGCACGGCCAGTAACTATTTTTATTGACTTACTTTGCCTAGACTGTTACAAGATGCCGAAGGTACCACAGTACCTATACTAAGGTTGGTATAAGTAGTCGGAACAGAAACACTTAATCAGTTTAAAAAAATAAAACAAATAATACCTGAAATGCGAAACAATTAACATTTTTTTATTCTCTGTCGTTTGTGGGACTATTAATATAAGCAAAACGAATTGGAAGCGGAAGTTACAGACGAACCTGAAGCTATAAGTCGGGAGAAAGAATCAACATTGAGTGAAATAGGAGAACTTCAAACTAGAGACAAAAGACCCTAAAACTGGGACCCAAGAAGATGAGATACTTGTAGACATAGATCGAGATGAACCGTTGGCCCAAGAAAAGGAAATAACAGTTAATGAAGCAGCGTTATCTGAAAATAGAACACAACAAAAAAAGAAATTTGACGACCTGGAAAAAACTGAAACAAGGACTACCAATACTTTTATTAGTATCACAGCAGAAGTACATCCACTACCGGGTAAATTGACGAAAAAAAAGACAATGATCACTAAAACGTACATTAAGGTGAAAGAAATAGAACGAAACAACTTTGATTTAATAGAAATAGAAAACGAAAACTGTAAAGAAACTTTAGAAGCAGAAAGTGCAAGCTATGCTGATCTCATCACTTTAGAAGACCTAGATATTCAAGATGAACTTGCATCACGCCAACAGGCAAAAAAAAATCAACTCTGAAGGACTTTCTACGGATTCCCCCAGAGCCAGCTCGAAAAGGGAAGAGAAATATATCGCGACTATCGTATCACATATCAGACCAGAATATCAGAGGATTCTGGAAGAAAAGCAATCCTCGAGAAAGAAAAAAGGGAACGGATAATTGAAAGAGAACAAAAAAGAGAGGACAGAAAACGGAAAGCTGAAGAAAAGAAAAATGAGTCTTAGATTAAGTAAGGTTTATATCAAATGTCTTTATGCGTTGTGATTGGTATCTGAAATGATATTATTAGAAATGATTTATTATATGAAGTAAACATTATATGTTAAAAAATTATATTTTAAAAAAAAAAAATAAAAAAAAAAAGTGTTATTATAACATACGTTTATTATACAATATGAACGTTATTGAAATGAATTTATATCATATAAACTTATATAAACTGTCACGCACCCACTTCGCTTCGCATACAATACATGCGCTCGGCCGTCGCGCTAGGGTTGTCTTGTCACGTGTTGCGTTTATTTCGTTATGATAGAAAAATGAAACTTTTAATACTATGGAAGAAAGACAATAACAGATATCCACATTATCCACGTATAATTATGTAGTTATGTTTAGTATGTTATTATTATAGTAATAGTTTGCAAACAAATACTTGAGAAGGAAGTAGTATGTGTAGTTGGGTGGTTGACACTATTATCCAATAATTCCTAAAAACTCTCTAAAAACACTTCGATATTCCTAATAATTGAGTTGGCTTTTAATTTGTCAACGTTAAACGAACTATTGAAATACAAATAAATAACTACCTTAATTACCTCCCGGAATCAATTGGTAGTTTAACAAACGAAAATTTAGTTTTTAATGTTGAATGTAAGCAACCATCTACAGAACAAATGTTATAATACCCCTTTTCTGTTGTTCACTCATTTTCGCACAAATAAAATAATTTCACAAACGCGTGAGCAGCGTCACTCAAGCGAACGCAGTCGCGCCTCGCCTTCGTCCGAGACAGTCTTGATAACGCGTACGTGAGCGGTGTCTATGTGTGGCTCGAGTGCGCTCAGTATGGACTTTACCTTCTGTTATATTTTGTGCCATGGCATCCCACGCGCTCTCGCCCAGGAGCATCGCAACTACGACGCTCACGAGCGCGAAGTCCGGACCAGTCACCGCAGTCAGAGCCCGGCGCTGCTGGACCCAGGCCCAGCACACCTCGAGGGTTTGCTGGATAAGTGCTGTACCTAATGTAACATCATGTGATACGAAAGGTCTGTAGAGATTTGACAGAAAGTCCATGTTAGACGATTTCGAAATTTGTAGGTAAAGGGTTAAGTAAAACAATCATTAGTATAAAAAAGTTTAAATATTTTGTAAGGTGTGTTAAGATTTACAGCTAACTATGTACAACTTACAGACTAGGCACTCATTATTGTTTATTTACATGTTTCAATTACAACAGCTATTAGATTGTTTGATAAAATTTCTTCCTTAAAACTTATTTATAGGAACCCCGAACAAAAGATAGCAACGTTATTACTGTGTGTGGTTCTTATCAACTTTTATCATATCAGTCATTATGGTGAGGGCTTATTTATTACACTATCTCACGCCCGTATTCACAAACATTACTATGAGGTCTCACAGTGCGCGTGAACGCACAGGGTAACACACGAACCAATCACAGAGCTCTATTCAACGCTGTGTGTTCGATTTGCTGCTTCACTTAAGCAAGCATCGTTTGTGAATACGGGTGTCAAACTATACAGTGGCACTTAGGCTGAGTTGCTCCACCCTACTTTAACAAACGTCAAAAATCTGTCAAACTCCATACAAAAAACAACAGTTATTGTTAATGTTACGGTTAAAATAACGTGGTGAACTCAGCCTTAATCTTTTTTACATCAACAGCCCTTTACAGTCCACTGCTGGACTATGAGCCTCCTCCACTATAGTGGAGGGTTTTGCCATAATCTCCACGCTAGGCAGGCGGGTTGGAGATCGCAGTTTAAAAGATTGATGTTTTTCAGAGAGCGCTGCTGCCCATTCTCTGTTTGATGTGTAGTCCCTAAGTCGCCTCTTACGACACCCGCGGGAAGAGTAGGGGTTGGTGACAAATGTATTCTACTCTGCCGTCACCACACGGCAATCTTTTTTACATAAACCTCTCAAAATATTTAATTATTCTTTCTTTCTTTCAAAACAATACAAATCTAATACAAAGATAGGTAATCGTGCCACCAGTCTTTTCCAGTCCCTTTCGTCAGTAATCGTATACTTAGACTAAATTAATTAAAATAAATTGATGAAAAATATGATGGAATGTAAAATTGTTTACGTCATTATATAAACTGAAATGACTTATCGCACATTCCTTTAGAACCCGTTTTTCCATGAACATAAAGAATTAGGCAGTTCCATTTTTCAGTTATTTATAACAATTATTTCTTTTCATTGTACCGGGTTGTGATTTTACACAATTAAATGACAACGTACACAAGACAAAATTAATATGTTACGGTTAATGTGATAAATTTAAAATTATTAATAATAACCGGTTATTATGAATAATTCCCGACAGTCGCGGTGAAAGTGATAAAATAATCACATTTAACAGTGATTATTTAATAATTCAACCTTAGTACTAACAAATTTCATAAAAGAGAACAACATCTTGTGTACGTGCTCGTGTACAGCCAAACTTTTGAACGTTTTGATATCATAGTATATTAATATAATTTGGCATAATGAGTTTGGAATGTTTTTTGCATAATATTACTTTTCCATGATGCCTATAACATAATGTTTTGATTTAAAGTGAAAAATAGGTTAAGGTGCGGCGGGGGTGGCCCTTGGGCCACCCCTAAGCCGCCTATTTAGTTTTATAGAGACATAAATGACCTCATATTAATCACATTTACCAAATCATGCGGTAATTATTCATAATAACCGGCGATTATTCATAATTTTCACATTTATCACTTTGACCGTAACAAATATACAAATCTATAATGGTTGTCCGGAGATCGAATTATTGCGTTTTAACAAACGCGCGGTTCTCCCATCCCTCGCGAATGCTGAACTTGATCTTCAGAGGCATGGTAGGCTGTGTGATGATGGAGGTCGGCATGAACTCCAGTTTCCTTGGAGTCTCTGGGGTCAGCTCCAAGTTGTACTTCTTCAAAACAGTCACCAGGCCAGCGAACACTTGCATCTTTGCGAACCTCATGCCTGAAAGATTGGATTGTTGTTATTAGTGTGAACATCTCTATATTTTGAGTGTCTAATACCCGTTTTCACCATCAATCCCTATTTTTAAGTGGCCCCTTTAAAAAAATCCTGTTTTGTGTTACCATATTAGTGAAAATTGTAATATAGATTCGCTAAATACTAAAGGGTAGAGCTGGAGAATAACCGAATCACAGTCAAAATAAAATATTTAAAATAATGATCAAATATTTTAGCAGGAATCCTCTTGATGTGGTTAAGAAATTGATGATTTAAAAAAGAATAAAAACTTACCAATGCAAATACGTGGCCCATCGCCAAAGGGCATGTAAGTGTGAGGAACTATTTTTCTTTTCTCTTCTCCCAGAAACCGCTCAGGACGGTACACCTCAGGCTCTGGGAAGAACTCGGGGTTGTGATGCAGGTGGTAGACCGGCAGGTGGATGCGGACTCCTTTGTCGAGGTGAACACCAGTCGGCAACGAGTAGTCCTCGATTACTTCCCTCGTTATCAGTCCAAGCACTGGATACAACCGCAGGGCTTCATCAACACACGCCTCTGTGAAAGGCAGTTCAGTCACGCAGTTGTACTGCAATTTGTTCTCGTTTCTTGCCAAATACTCATCAATTTCCTTCTGCACTCGCTTCAGATTCTCTGGACTCTTCGCAAGTTCATACATGGTATAGCTCAACGTGGTAGCAGACGTCTCATATCCAGCCAGGAAGAATATCAAACAGTTTGCCACCAAAAACTCATCAGTAACTGGCATTGAAACCTTCTTATTGTCTTCACTACTTTTGATATTCGCAATGCTGTCGCCCTCAATATAGTTCTTCTGCTTAAAATTCAATATGAAGTCGACAAAGTCGTTTCTGTTCGTGGGCTTGTAGTCGCGTGCTTCGAAGACTGACACCATAAATTTATGGAAGAACTTTGTGGTTTCAGGTGGCATGAATGTCTGTCTACACGCGTAAAAAATCTTTGGCCAGACTGATCGCAAAAGATTCTTGAAGAAATTTTTATTAGAGGTGTCTAACACCCTGTCTCCTGCTTGTACGAATGGGTTAGTTTTATAGTCACCTTCCATGGTATGAGCGTCGACACCAAACGCGCAGGAGTTGATGCAAGCCATGGTGTACCTGGCCATGAACACCCTAATTTCGATGATGTCAGACATGCTAATATCTTCATCGAGCAGCTTTTCAAAAGTGTGGGAGCATGTTTCTATGAGTGGGAACATGCTCCTCATTTTTGCTGATGAGAACACTGGAGTGAGATTTTGACGCACAACTTTCCACTCATCGCCGTAAGAAGCGAATACATTGTTGGCTTCGGGTTCCTTGTGAACGTAATTGGATATTTCTCTACCATGAAAATAGTAGAAGTCTTTGGTGGTGATGAGTTTGATGAACTCGGGATCTTGGACGATGAGCGTAGGTTCCGTGCCATAGAAAGCTCCAACGTAGGGTTCCTTTGGGAATTGTTTGCAGATGGCTTGACCTACCTCGGCCATGTTTTTTTTTAGAAGGAACAGGTCGCCATAGTTGCCAAATATTGGTGTCGGCTTGATATAAGGAACGTTTCTCTTCTTCCAGTAATTGAATTTTTTCGTCGAGTAATAGACTAATGCCACAAGCACCGCTAGGATGCCGAATACGAGGTTCACAATCATTTTTGACAGCTTCTTTACTCTTATTATGATTAAATAATGAATGATAATAATGTGTGCTTCGTTATTTATACACGCGCGGCACTGGGGTGACCATAATGTGTTTTAAATTGTAAGAGAATTCATCTAATAGATAGAATTTTTGTGGATGATAGGGAAAATGGAAAATGGAAGCACAAAAGATACCAATGGATCGGGGTGCACTACGCAAAGACGCAAAGGCATGGCTCTATAAAAGACAAGATAGATTTAGAGACATTAATACGATGATGACTTATGGCTCGGAAACGTGGCCTCTCACTATAGGCCTTATACAGAAGCTCAAAGTTGCACAGCGTGCTATGGAGAGGGCTATGCTTGGTGTTTCTTTACGAGATCGAATCAGAAATGAGAAGCTGACATAGCCCGAGGGATTAGCAAGCTGAAGACGTCCTATGGCTGAAATGATGATTGACACATGAATATATGCAGTATGCAGGCACCTTCCAACCGGACCATTCAGAAAGTATTGGCAGATGACTCTGGGCTTTTAGCTGTGGACATTCTTTGACTAAAATGATGATAAAAATAATATAGCCGTTATTAAGTGATTGAGTAATTTTGTCCTTTCAAATATCTTGATAATATGGTCCCGTAATTTTAACTCTGTTGTTACGTAGACAAATTATAAAAAATATCATAGTACCTATCATGGAGATAGCAAATTGTTTTTATGATAACGAGCTGTAGCGTTGCCTTTTGCTTGTTTACAAGATTTTATTTATTTTAATGTTTTAGTACTTTTTAGATAATACATACAATTCAATCAAGTGGATTTCTATGAACCATAGCGATGCTATCTGGTACATACCGACATAAGGTACAATCATGTAATTGCTTACTATTCGACACACTAATATTTTTACAAATACATTTAATATTTGTTTAGCCATTAAGCTAATAAAGTGCATTTATTTTTGATATTACTTTGAATAATAATACATATAAAGTACCATAATAATCGTAATATTAAAATCTATATTTGTACAATCTATCGTAAATATCTCAAGTCATAAAGTTTAACTTTCCTGCAAGTCACGAAAAGTTGCTAGAAATATGTTTACGTTTCGATATAGATAATTACGGGGCTACTGCGCAACAAAATATAGACAAGGGCACATTAAGCTTAACACTGTAGGATTCTATGTAGTTTTTAATAAGGTTAAAATTAGCACTTATACCTTATTAGGATTAACTTTGAAGTCCGGCTACGAGCATTCGCAATTTAAGGTCATTAACCTTTTTTTTGTTTATGTTAAAATTACTAAATTAGTCCAGAAAAAAAAACACTACTCATAATAATGCAATTAGCTTCAATAAAACTAGCCAATAGCAGTTTTATTTCTTTGAGTTAGTACCTACTACCCAGCTATGAGTTAGTTAGCTGTTCGTTCTTTTCAGTCGCATGACGTCCGCTGCTGGACAAAGGCATCCCCCAAGGATTTCTACAAAGACCGGTCCTGCGCTGCCCACATCCGGGCACCTCCCGCTACCTTCACCAGATCGTCGGTCCACCTAATAGGAGGGCGTGTGGGCACACGTCTTCCGGCCGGCTCGTGGTCGCCATGCGAGAACTTTTCTGCCCCAGCGGCCATCAGCTCTGCGAGTTATATGCCCCGCCCACTGCCACTTGATTAATAGCGATTCTGCGGGCTATGTCCTATGTCTTAGCTGTTCACATTAAAATAAATTAGGAATGTCGGTAGAAAAACAGAATAATTACATAAATGTAGTACTAAATTGTAAGTTTAGGTATTGTTAGGAAAAATATTTAAATAAGACGATTTTTGTAAGTAGGAAGGTAATTATTTGAACAAACTTTAATTATGGTATTTCAATTATATAAAAATATCACGATAATATTATCGTGATATTTTTATATAATCTTTAATATTAAAGATTATATAAAAATATAACTAAGTTTTAATTTTTTTGATCTTATCAGTAAATGCACCAAATTTTGAATGTCAAATGAATGACTGTATATCGAATAGCTAGGCGAGTATTAATTTGTCTGCATGAACGTGATACCTACTGTTATGTATTCTGTGGTGATACAGCAAAAAATCTGGGATAGGTAAATGTCGTCCTCTGCTGGACAACGCCTCCATTGGATTATGATGGGAGATTTTTGCCATAATCGCCACGCTAGGCAGACGAACTCGGAATTGCCGTGGTAATGGTAAGATACTTCTGCCCCTTCGTCGGGACTCGGGAATCTAGTGACAATAGCTGAATAGGCCGTAGAAAATAACGTTTAGTAAGTAGGTACCTAAAGTTTTTTAGCTTTTTAGCACTGCCTACTCAATATCTCTGTTTTGTTCAAGGTCAGCTGGTAGAGAATGTCTTATGGCATTAAGCTCGCCTTTTTGTACGGAACATTTTTATGTGTGTGCAGTGCAATAAAGTCTTGAAATAAATAAGTATTATAATATGATTATTGTAATAATTCATCTAAAGATGCCACTCATCCTTACTCGTATGTTGCAAGTCATGTAAGTGCACTTATTATTATTATGTTTGTACCTCAGATCATAGAAAGAGAATAGATATGAAGTCGCGCGTAACTACAACGAGAACCAGTGTCCCCACATATCCCCCACCATAGCTCCCACACACACATTCAACTGTGTAAAAACAAAGCGACTGAGAGTCTACGACAACATGTGCAACCGGCTTAAAAGTGCTGTGATTGGCCAGAAGGCGTGCCTTATGGCCAATCAATGGCCGCGTGACGTGACGCACACATAGAAAACGCTAGTGAGAGAACAAAGATAAAATGGAGTCGACAAGATATCGATACTTTAAATCGCTAGGGGCAAGGCTCGAAACTGCCCCCCTAGACAAAACGCACTTTTTGATCGAATCGAAAATCGAATCCGTCAAAACTCCATACAAAAAAAGGACTTTTCGACCACTTATCGACTGGTTTGCGATTATAATTTGCACTTTGTCTAGACCCACTTGTTTCACAAAATGCTTATGTATGAAAACCTTTTTATTATTATACGTTATTATTAACTACTATCACGCATTTATTTTTTAAGCTCAGGGGTGTAGAGAGGTGTGCTGCGCTTTCTCCGAGGTTACTCGCGGCGTTATGCCCTTTAACACTTCCACCCCTGGAGCATATAGCTCTAGCGGCTCCACTCTGGCCGGCCGGTTAAGGCAAGCCAGAGGTGAAAGTCCTGCAGACCCTCTCGGATTCCACTTCGGCAAGCCGAAGACGAGGGTCTTGACCGACTCTCGGGAGCACTCGGGTTAACAACTGGCCCCGTGGTGTCGCTACTCACCAACAGCTCGCCACAAAGCTGCCCTGCGGGGCTTATTATTATTATTATTATGTGTGGCACATGCGTGTAAATCTTGAAACAACAACATAACATAATAACATTTAACACTGATGTTAAATATTATTTAACATTAGTGCACTGTTGCACGAGCACCAAAGAGCCTGATCTAGACACTTGTTTTCTCAGTATAAAGAAATGGATTAGTGCCCGTTTTCACCATCAATCCCTAATTTTTAAGTGACCCATTTGACAGCAAAATTCATATGATAAGTGTTACCATAGGGGTCACGTAAAAATTAGGGATTGATGGTGAAAGTAGAGGTGGGCGCCGATATACAATTGGCCGGCGGCGGCGCGCCGACTTTTTGACTTCGGCGGCGGCGGCGTCGGCGGCGTGACCTTGTTTGACCTTTATTCATTAGGTATTTTTTTTAAATCAGCTTTTTTAGTATCTGTCGTTAAGACTAATCAGGTGATTCGCAGTTGGTTGGGGTTTGTCACGGTAGAGCCACTGGAGCAGTGGTTTACCCTAGTAAATTAGCTATCTTGATCATAGATACTTCGATATTTGGATAGCTGGTTTGGCTGAGATCAGGTTCTCGTGTATTTCCTAACGGCGAGGGTACCAATGTGCCAATAAAAATACTCTTAACATGTATTTTTGAGCTCTTTGGAGGCACATAGTTAATGTTGAATTAGCTGACTGTCGGTCGACCAAAGTTAGATCCCATTATATTATGTTCAGATCTGTTTTATTTATATTATAGTCTTTCCATGTGATCCTACGGTTCAGGTTTTTAATGCAGGTTGATTGTAGCAATGTGTAAAGGTCTAGATTGGCCGGAGGATAAGTTTCACGTCTTAAATGATAATATGGTGAGACTTCGGGGCTTGCTTACATGCGCCACTCCCACTTGGTCAGCCAAGCATTAGTGGTATTTAGCTGACTTTGCAACAGTCTAGTCGTTTTAAGATCACAGTTACAATTGAGGTAGGCAGCTTTCTGGTGTCTAGGCTACTTTACTAGTAAATGTTGTAGAGTACCGGGCCAAGTACAGAGTCCTCGGGTACTCCAGCTCTGCAGCTAAAGAGAGAAGATTTTGTCACGGAGTTTAATTTAAAACTGTCTGTCACTGAGATAAGACTCCATCAGCAGGTAGTAGAAGTGTGCTGGAAGGTACTTTTTAATTTTATAGAGTAGTCCTTTATGCTAAACCTAGCTGACGCTGCAGCGAAAGCAGCCGTAAAGGATTCTTTCTTTTCCAAACATTGTACTGATTATGGTTGGTATATTGTTGGTCGGGTATAATACACTCGCGAGCAAAACTATGGAATCACTTACATGAAGTTGTTTCCACGCGATCTTGTGTACTAACGAATTTGTTAGTAACAAAAAAAGTGGCACCATTTTAAAGATTAAACTTTTACCTTTAAATTGATACCAAATTCATTTAAATCACACCAGTATTTAAAAAGATATCGCGGCTGATGTGAAGAAGTAAGGAAAAAGACATGTATCAACTGTTTGATACGTCGCGAGTTGCGGCCCATTTACCCCCTATAAAAGCACGTGTTTTCGGATTTTTGCTTTCACACGTTGATCCATACACATCTCAGCTTCTTTTGACACTTTACCTGGGATTCTACACCTTCAGAAGCAGCACAAATCCTTGCACTATTGCAAGAAGGGCTCAGCCAGCGGGCTGTCGCATGTCA